GAGAGAGAGAGAGAGAGAGAGAGAGAGAGAGAGAGAGAGAGAGAGAGAGAGAGAGGCACCCGTAGAGCACCGACCGGCGATCACACGCGCACGGACCACGGAACACACAGGCGCACATCAAGAAAGAGAGACGAAGTGCCGGGCGATTGGAGAAGTGGCCATGGGCGGCAACAGCATTGCGCGCCGGCGATTGGAGCGGTGGGCCGGCAACGGAAAAACGGGCGTGGCAAGTGTAGTATCTGTTCTGATCAGGGAAAAAAAAAAAAAAAAAAACGGGCGCGCGGGCAATTTGGTACCGAGTTTGAAGGAGTGGGGTGGGGTGGGGTGGGGTGGGGGGGGCGGCCACGATTACGGGCCGACGGGCGGGCGAATGGGCGCCTCCGGTAGCCTCCAGTAGCGATATCTCACGGCCCGACTCACGGCCTGATATCCCACGGCCCGAATTGCAGGCCGGTAACGCGCCGCGGACGGCCCAGATCGCAGGCCGATCAGAAAGTTTTCTGATCGGCCTGCAATCTGGGCCGTCCGCGGCGCGTTACCAGCCTGCGATTCAGGCCGTGAGATATAACGTTTAGCAGTTCTTATAGTAGGTGTAGATGTAGATTGTAGATGTAGATCTGATCCCATCCCAATTCGAACTTGTTCACTCACACGAGCCAGGTGTGCACTTGTATTTGAATAACTTTGGTCTTTGATTCCAACACACAAGAGAAAACAGAGAAAAAAGGAAACAAAATGACAAAAGAGTGCACCCATTGAGTGTCGAAAAGAAACGGTGCCCAACCGTCCACGATGCTGTCCTCAGGTGGTTCTATCGCAATTTGAACTCATGACCTGTTTACTAACAGTTGCAGGAGTACTATTCATCCACACGGATCGGGTGTGAACTCTGGTTCTGACACCGCAATGTTTTCTGCTCGTGACCTTGCCCCAAACGGTCTTGTGGTGTCTCACGGGATGCCTTCATGCCATACGACGAGGGAGCACGGGTTGGCAGCCCGTAGGCTGCATCATGGTCTGCCTGCGGACAGATGCTTGCAAAGTAGGAGGAAGGTAGCCCAGTCGTGCGAATCAGTGTGAAGTTTGTAGACCCAGTTCTACCTCCCATGGCCTGTATGAAACTGGTCTGCAAACCCAGTTCAAACCCATGGTCGAGCTACCTGAAGCGTTACGCGCGGCATGCGCATTCACGCTCAAACATTACGGCAAGGCGAGATGACACGAGATGATGTTGCTGTGGTGGGGTAGGGGGCCTACAGTCCCCCTCCGCCTGCATCAAAACCAGTTCAAACCCATCGTCTAGCTACCTGAAGCATTACCCGACTGCAGCGGCAAGTGCATTCCCGCTCAAACATTACGGCAAGGTGAGATGACATGAGAAGATGTTGCTCTGGTGGGGTAGGGAGTCCATAACAGTCCCCGCTCAAACATAAAGGCCGTATGTCTACATTCAGTTGAAAAACTTGTGATTTCATCCGGTTGGAAAAGGTTCAAACAAGTATATGAACTAGAGAGTAAAGGACGAGGAGTGTGACAAGATTTAGCGGAGTTTGTTCAGGTCTCATGTACACTAACTAACAAAGCTGGCCTTGATATGCTAATCACGGTGTTGCAAAATTGCAAAACATCGCAAAGCCATCTGCAGATGTGCGGGAAGGGGTGTCGGAAGGGGTGCTGGAAGGGGTGCAGGTGGGAGGGGGACTGTTGTGGACTCCCTACCCCACCAGAGCAACCTCGAACCACATGTGAGTATGCCCGAAGAGTATCGAGGAGAGTTCGACTCTTTTATTGCAAGCAGAAATCATTCTTATAAGTTATAACCTTGTTTTTCCAAGTTGCTTCGGCTTAAGGGCATGGACAACTATCAGAGTCACAGCAGTGGCACTCTTGCTCAAAAGTCCTCCCCGCTGCTGCAAAATGCTTGAATGAAGGTAAAGATTTCATAGTTCAGCCACTTAGTTAGCTTGACTTTTTCCATACAGCTTTGAGCGTGCGCCCATGGCGCTCTGTTGGCCAGAGGGTATGGGTTCTTGAAATGAACCTTGCCCTTCTTGTGAGCAGGTTTGCATGTCCATGGCATGGACACTACACACTATTATATTCGGGGGAAGAAGGTAGTTATGACAAGGATAGTGCTACACACTGCCTGTTCCTTATCTATCTCAATTGTACCTGCACCTGCACTGTGCGTCGTACTGTGCGGTATGCTGCACGACGAGCGGCGCAGCACCTGCTCGTGAGCCATACCAGCAGCAGTTTCCCTTTCACTTTTTGCTGTTTTTGTAGATACAGAAGAGTGCACCACCTAAGGAACATATATTTTTCAAGGGCAGTCGTACAGATTTTTCTTTCCCTCCATTTGGGCATGAGAAATAGCCTCAAATAGGTGTTTGGGACATCTGTCTTGACCTTTCGACCCCTATTTTTTCAGAGCGAGTATTTCCCCCGTGCGCCGCACCGTGCGGGTCCGCTCGCCCGTTGTACTTGCGGTTGCATGTATGATCTCAATGTTTGAGCAACTCTTAGCCAACATGTTGCAGCCTCGGTTCGCAGAGGGGTTCAACTAGGACGCGGGGACGCGGGATTCCCATCAAACCATCTACGTTCACCCTACATGGTCATGAAAGAGAGTACTGCGGAAGGGACCGAACCAAGCACCGCGAGAGGTATCCCGATGAGCACAAGTCCATGGACCTAGGCAGAGCCCGAGTAGTGCACCTCATTGGCATTCTCAGTTCATTCTATTCTTGCTACCCATAGAATCAAGGACACAGGCCCGGTTCCCAGCACGTGTCGCTCCCCATGAATCCATATGGAGCACAGTCTCCCCCCAAACAATCACGGAAAAAAGAAAAGTCCTAAAACAAAAAAAGAACAAAGGAACGGGGAATGAGACCCATGGAGGTCAAATGCATGACGGGCGAGAAGGGGTGGAATGAACTGCCTCTTTCACCTCTGCTGCTTGCTGCATTGCCCGCCCTTCTTCTCGCCTGCTTTCCTCTTCAGCACGTTCAAGAGCTTCTATTTCCTCGCGACGCCGTTGCCTCTCCATTTCTTTCTCCCTATCGGCTTGAAGAGATGCTGCAAATGCAGTATCCTAAATACCAAAAAAAAACACATCCATAAACTAATATCAGCAAAAAAAAAAAAAAAAAAAAGTTAAAAAACCACACATTCTGACAAAAAGTGAAGTTAAAAAAACAGTTTAAAACACACATTCTAAAAAAACAGTTTTAAAAAAAACATATCCACAGATTCCACACACTTATATCAGTGTGTAAACAAAAGATAAAAAAACACACATTCTAAAAAAAAGTGAAGTTAAAAAAACACACAAAAGGTTTTGCAAGGAAAATGAGCAATAGCGAGATGACAGAATCCAGATTGCACAATCACATTGAAAGCCAGAAAGTCCCACCGTGTCCAGAAAGCAGCATTGCACCAATATTACACCAATGGAGAATCGAAACAATGAAACCGAATGTCAATAAAAGCTTACTCTCGTCATCACCAACAAGTGACCACACCCTTCCCCCTACTTGGCGCTCGGCGCCCAGACTACTCCCACACAGCTACTATCTGCCTACGAATTGACAATACAACTGTTGACATCAGCAGCCACCGAAGTACATGAAGATGTCGCCTCATTGCAGACTATGGCCGTAACCAGGTATGTGCCCTCACATCATCCTCCTCATCTCTCTCTCTTGCTCTCTCCCTTGTCTTTCACCCACATCTTCTTCCTCATGCACGAAGACCACCACCACACCCTTGCTGTGTACCCAAGCCCGGCCGGCTATGGAGCCCGAGCTATGGCGCTGCCCACAGCAGCGCCCTATCTTACACGACCACACGTGCGCGCGCACCCTGGACAGCGCAGCACACAGCACGCGAGCGCACACTCAAGTAGCGCTGCCCCCCGAGTTGCAAGTGCCCGAATGTATGGCCAGGCAGCGGGCATTTTCCTATATGGAAAGTGTCTGACCTGCTGCGCTGCCTGGCTGGGCTGGTCCTGTGCCCAGAAGCTTCTGGTAGGCCCCACGTAGCTGGGCCTCTGCTGCTGCTGCTGGGCCCCGTTCGGTTACGCCTCCCAACTGCCCGGTGTGTATACTTCTGCAGATGTGGCCCAGGGCCTGCTTCCAGAAAAGGGCTAGAAGGCCTTGGAAAGTTTTGCTGCTTGTGGCCTGGGTTCCCTCAACCAACTGACGCGACACAACTGTCTGAACCCCAAATGCGAAATTGGCAACAATGGGCCTCTCGTGATTTGGTCAGGCACACAATCACTTAGGGCAGGCACATCTGAAAATGGGACCCTTAGGCCTGCCGAGGAGCCCGATCCTCGCAGTTTTTTTTTTTAACACACATTCTAAACTTCTAAGTTCTAAAGACTAAACACAGCGTGTGTGTTACAACAAGAAAAGTAAAGGATACCAACGAAATCTTCGCAAAACAAAATATATTTCCAACTTGCGAAGTAGTACCTGGCCAAAGAACAAACAGCTGGATCCAAGATTCGGCGACAAAATGCCATTTTAAATGTCTTTTGGACCTTTGGAGGACAGGGAACCAGCATTCCAGTATCATTAACGCATCAAGTTGGCATCAACAAAACGAAACAGGTTTTTTCCATGATTACGCTGGACCCGGAAACCGGACCAATCCAGACGTCCGGCTGGACCTACGTCTGCACTACTCCAGACGTCTGGAATAACCCCACCCCACCCCCTGAAAAAAAGAAACTTTTTTTTCTCCCCTTGGATTTGTCTTTGAATTTGATGATGATCCTCAGGCAAACGATTTTGTTTTGCAACGATATATAACACTTTTTTTTTCCAGATATTTAAACATGTTTTTAATTTTATTTTGAAGTNCAGGGGTAGATCTGAATGTCTCTACCGGACACAGGACCCGAACATGCAGACCCGGACCGTCTTTACTGCGATCCAGACGTCCAGACCGGGATCCAGTCAAGTACCGGTTAGGCCCCTTCCCCCAGAAATTCAGAAAAAAAAATCGGGGGCACCTACGACCATTTGATTGCTATAGGAGCCCCCACAAAAATGTTGGCCTCATTTGTCGGACTTTTTTCGGCCTAATCAGCCAGGCTGGACCCCACCAAGAGTTGCTGGGGTGGGATAATGCTTGCGGCTACTGGAGGGACGGATTTGAAATCGAGTCTGTGCTCAGGACCTAGTGGCACCACTCGCCATCATGATTTTCAATACATCTTGGCAGTTTCCATATCCAGATGCATTCAAATCTTAGCAGATGGCAAGTGGTGCAACCAGGTCCTCCGTCTTGTTGTAGCCCATGCAGATGCTGAGATGTCTTGGCTGTCTTGGCTATCTAGGAGTCGCCCCTCAACGGTCTTATCGCCGTCATCCAGGTCAGTGCTCTCTCTCTCTCTCTCTCTCTCTCTCTCTCTCTCTCCCCCCCCCCTTTTCAAGGTCATACATCACGCATCTCTCTATCCTTTCAAGACCGTACATGAACAGCGAATGCGCGTCTCTCTATCCTTTCAAGGTCCTACATGAACAGCGAATGCGAAGTAGCCTCTCTCTCTCTCCATGAGAGGTGAACGAAAGGCGTGGAGGAAGGAGGCAAGCTTGCCTCTATATCGTTTGTGGGAGGAGGACGGCAAGGGACGACAAAGGCCGAGAGGAAGGAGACGAGGGCGGGTTGCAGGAGTAAGATTAGGAGGAGGGGCAACATGAATGAAGAGGAGGGAAATCGGCGATGACAAGGATGCACAAGAGGAGAAGGAATAGTGACGATGGAGTTGAGAGGAGGGAAGGGAAATTGATGACGACAAGGAGGAGAAAGAGGAATAGTAGTAGTGACGATGGAGATTGAGAAGAGGGGCTGCAGGAGGACGAAGGTTTAGAAGGGGGACATGGGAGGACATTTTCTGACCAAGTGGATCTCTCTCGAAAGTTGTTGCCCTTGTACTATGGTCCATGGCAGATGCTAGATACAGTGGGCGCTGATCCATTTCTTCCGTCCTGCGCTTAGGATGTGTGACCTCGTCTTAGAGCCCATCCTGTCTTTCATGCATCAGAGTTGTTGCCTTTCACACCTTCTGATGCGTTCCCAGACAGGCCTCCTCAATTTGGTCCCCCTAGTTTTAAATTCTAAAATTTCCTATATTCTCATAAATCTTTGAATGTACTGTATCCCCGGGAAGGGATATGAGGCCCAGTGGGACACGGGCTGCAGCTGTGAATATCTTGTCAAGTTCCTTTTCCAACCGCACACTGAGAATAGGTGGTTTACACAAAAAGACTTCTCAAGATGGCCAAGTCAATCGTACTGCCTCTCGCCTCATGGCCACTATCAGCTCGGAGGCCCTCGCTCCCCGGGAGGGTAGGAATGCAATGTTCTTGCAGTTTCTCTGTAAGTTTCTAAGTTCTTGGTCCTGGGACATTTCTCTAAATTCCCTAAAACTACTGCCAAGACAGCACTGCTGGCCTAAACGGACAGGTGCTTTGCTACTGCCTCAGACCGGCACAGCTGTTACTGGAAAAACGCAGACCCATAACTATTAGCTGCGTCCTCGGTTCTACGATTCCGGTCCAGTAATTTAGTGTAGTAGAACTATAAATAGACTCAGTCTGTTCAGCTAGGGATCTTTTGGTCTGTCGACCATTTGGGCCTATTGCTGTTTGGGAGCTTTGTTGACACAACCAGGCTGCCTGAGCAACACCATAGCTGGGGCGCTGCTGCTAGGCCATCGTTCCTGCGCTGCACCATGCGCTTCAGGCGCTGTGCCTGGCACCATCATATCTGTGCTGTTGGGGTTGCTGCCATATCTTCTTCTGTGGGGCAGTTGTACCTCTTCTTCGTCAAGGTGGAGCTTCCTTGCTCGTCCTTGAGCTAGCACTGTTCACCCTGAACGGTCGCTGACTCAGTGCTGTGCCAGCTGAGCAGTTTTTGGAGAGGCGCTGAGGTCATGGTGGTCTGCAGGTTGGGTGCTGCATCTGCATGCCGGGCGTGCCAGCTGAGTTGTTTTCCAAGAGGCGCTCAGGTCATGGTGGTCTGCAGGTTGGGTGCTGCATCTGCATGCCGGGCGTGCCAGCTGAGTAGTTCTCCGAGAGGCGCTGAGGTTATGGTGGTATGCAGGTTGGGTGCTGCATTTGCATGTCGGGCGTCATAGCCAGGAAGGTGATGGTTGACGTTGGGAGGGAGGAGGAATGCTACAGAAGATAGCTGAAGCTTGCAGGATCAACTTGTCCTTTTTATTTTTTTCAACTTGTCTTAGCTTGTACTCGCAGTAGAAATTTTGAACTTATGGATGTGATGGCGGTCACAGTTACATCCAGGTCCATCCATAAATGATAAATGCAGTCAGATGCATTTAAGATAGGGCCAGTGTGAATACGCCTTTATTCTCACGCAGGGAGAGAACTTGTCACCCCTACCGTCTTCACCCGAATAGAACGGCCGGTGATTATACGCCATACCTGGACTGAAAGTTGCACCAAATTCAGCTATAACGACCGAGCATTCTATTTGGGTGAAGACGGTACCAGACAATCAGATGGTACGTGAAAAGATCGACAGACATACCCAATGGTTTGCTCGACGACACCAACAGATCAAAATTTTTGAAGTTGCTAATGGAAGCACGAAGACGTAGAAATTTCATGCACGCACTTGCTGATGCAAGTATCAGCAAGTGCAAGGAAGCAAAAAGGAGAAACCTCATGGGCAAGGCTTCACGGAAGGAAGCGCACAACTTCATCTGCAATTCAGTGGCTATGAAAATGACCGACAACCAGGGATAAGGTACAAGGAATTGATTCCTTTCGCAGTCGGCAAGCCCAGGCGAAAAATCACCCTCCGCGAACCCAATCGAGAAATCACCCTCCTTCACGCTCGTTCCGCATTAAAAAAAAAGAAGTCATCCACGTGTTCTCACGTTGTGGGCCTGTGGCATTAATGAAAAAAGACATCATGGCAGAAATTTGTTTACTCACTTGACCTTCCTGACACTAACAGACGTCAAGCTTTTTTTTTTTCTTTCCTTCTGTTGAGACATTAACAGATGGCACAAGCTGATGGAAAGGAATGTGAAATTTCAAGACACTCCTTCGACGTAAACCATGGCGGTCAAGACACCAAGCCACTTCTTCTTCCCACAATTAACCCTTCATGAGCCCGCACCTACCTGCTCCTCCCGCAATTGTCTATCGTCATCAAAGGTGGAAGGAATCTGGGAATTGACGGGGGGTCGCCGTGATGCAGAACCTCCCGTTTCCACTGAAGCACCCCGATAAGGTACTCCAAACAAAGCGGACTCTAACATGACAGCTTCTGCGCGCTCTGCAGAAGACAGGCCAAGGGACTAACGCCACAAGAAACAGATGACAGTCGCAAACAAACCAACCCCGACCACCATGTGTTAGTCCAAATATAGCAGGCTCCAAATAAATCAAAGCGAAGCCTGATTTTTTTAAAAAGCAATGACACCCTCCTATTTGCACCTGGCAGCATAGAACCATGACGAGTAGCTTTGTATAGTCAGCAGACTGGCATATTAAGCATTTGACCAAATATAACAAGTTTCAACTTACAACCATACGCCGCTGGTGTCCAAACTTGACATGGTTGTAAATTGGACAATGTCAAGACTGAGGACACCAAAATATCGCACACGTTCAAACATAGTCCAAACAAAATCCACACTTCTTTTTTTTTTCGGGCCATTTCTCGATTTATGTGTGCCATCCTTGTGCAGGGGCCATGCTAATCTTCTCTGTATCGTTCCAATTCTAAGGATGTCCCGAAAGACCAACAAGTCCAAACTTAACATGGTTATAATATATAAATAGGATAATAATGGCAGGTCCGACAGGATGTCCCGAAGGACTAACGAAGTCCAAACTTAACATGGTTATAATATATAAATAGGATAATAATGGCAGGTCCGACAACTTCGAATCCACTTTTCAGAGTAAATCTCAACATCGCACAAATCATCAGCAATTGTCATCCACATTATACTAATCAGTCCGTACTTTCTTCCAACACCCACCCGACACCCACCATCATCCCATCCTCTGGTCACAACAGGCACCTGTGATAGCTACTGGCTCATTCAGAACTTGTAAACCGCAAACCTTAGCCTACCGACTTCACCCGAATAAAACGCCATGTCATTATAGCTGCGTTTGGCCCAACTTTCAGTCCAGATGCAGCGATAATGACCAGGGCTTCTATTCGAGTGAAGCCGGTAGTCAGAAGACTGGGACATTCGCTTGACCAGATATCGCACAAGTTCAGCCATACCGACTTGATGGATGTTCGGTGCGCACGTATAACACCGTTAATCCATGGGTAAAGGAGTTGGAATGTAACCCAATGACAAATTGAGCTTGTTTCTCCTTATTCTTCGCTCTTTGCTTTTTTTGAAGTTTTTTCCTTTTTTCGTTTTTTGGGGCCATTTATCGATTATAATGCAAGTCATCCTTGTGCAGGGGCCATGCTAATCTTCCCTGTATCATTCTGATTTTAACTGATGTCCCAAAGGCCCCTTCAAAAAATCCATCTTAATTCACACAAGTGACAAATCAGCAATTGTCATCCACATTACTGTCACTAAGCGCCTTCCTCCCACACCCGGCCCACACGCGCCATCACCCTATCCTCTGATCGACACAGGAGCCTGTGATAGCTATTGGCATACTCACAACTTGTAAGCCACGAACATGGTGTCTATGTTTGCAAACAAGACAAAACAGGTGTGGTAATCCACGACCTTGCCCTTTTTTTTTCTTTTTTTTGGGGGGGGCGCAGAGAACTTCCACAAAAGCACAGTGGCACAGATACAAGTCCTGCCTGTCACTTGGCTGTAAGTGGGTGCGCCGATGCAGGAATATTCTGTGCGGCCAACCATGCGGGCACGTCCTTTCACGCAAGTCCTGCCTGTTGCTCGGCTGTGTGGATGCACAAGTGTCTTGTGTATGGCCACAGTTGTGGGAATGCGCATTTTTGAAAGCCCTGCCTACCCATCGCATAGCTGAAGGGCCCCTTTTCACAGCCATCTTACACGCAACAGCCAAAAAGGGCTGGGTTTTCACAGAGATGAAAATGAAATGATGGATGCACTTTCCTTCCTTTTAGTTATCACGTTCTTGGAACTGCGCTACGACGGCGGCCCCGTGCATTTCGGAAGGTCCGATCATTTTCATTTGTGTCTGATATCGCTACGGCGGCTACGCAAGGTGTGCAGTTTACTTTTTCCCAGAACCGTGATACTTACCTTCTCTCCCTAAAGCATGTTGACAGTTCAGACGGCACGGAAACGGAGAAAGCCTGACATCATCCTAAAACACATCCAGGCCTTCACATCAATCACACCTGATGATGCAAAACCCATCCAAATGCCAAAAAATGCACCATCCCATGACAATACAATCCGACCAAAAAACTCCTTTTGAATTTCGAGGGAATTTTTGACACATTTTGACACACATTTCGACAAACGACATCAACAAACGCCGACACTCTAGGAGGGCTGACGTGTCAAACACTGGCAAGCATTGACCACCGGAGGTCCAATTCTCAATCGGACAACAAAACTAATCCCAGAAAGGACCAAGAAGTTGGACACCGAGCCCACTGCCTTAAGCACAAGCAGTTGTTTTAAGGTGGAGATAACGCTGAGCCCATCCTGTGACATTAGGAGAACAGTGGCCGAAAGTACCCTTGCTAGCCCCCACCGTCCGCTCTGGAAAATGTGCCCACACAAACCCCACAAAAGGCTTCATCCCCAAGGATTGGATGCAATACGCACGTTTAGTGAAAGATACTCAAACCTGAAAAAAACACATTCCGTTCATTAGTGCAAGATTTCCCCCGTCGTTGTTTACAGGAAGTGCTCACGCATCTATCAGCCTCATCCATGCCTCTTCAAAACAGAAGTTGAACAGGTATTCACACACACACACACACACACACACACACACACACCCCGCTACACACACATCCCTGGCTGAGTGGGTGTGTCGATTAGATTTTATGGCTGTGACAGACCGTTTCTTAGACTTGCTGCCATTCTTGTTCAGGCTTTTGCAGAAAGACAGCCCCCTAGGATCAGGGTTGGTATGCGTAAAGTCCGCCAGTTTTCTCAGGGGTATCGTTGACATTGGCCAACGTGGCGAGTCCTTGTCCTTCAGTCGAATGCGTCCTGCGCAAACTGTCAGGGTTCAACTTCCTCCGGAGTCGGTGAACGTCTGATGAAACTGTCTGGCGCAGTATGCTACTTTTCTCAAGTTGCGTACAACCACCGTGATAACACACTCCATAACTATCAAGTTATTATCCACGTTGAAACCAACCGTACCATTCACACAAGGTGACAAGGGCCATATCTTATTCGAGCACTGTATTGCAAATAGCGAAAAGAATAGGGTATGTCCTCTCCTTTGGAGATCACAACCAGCCTCTTTATTACAACCACAGAATGAAACTCTCTGCGTCTGCCTGCAGAGCTCCAGCCTGTGGCCCCGCCAATACAGCAAATGGTCCAACAACATGTAAACGGTCCCCTTACAAGGAAAAGAGAGAATGCTGAGCTCGGATGGAAAAGAACAAACGTGAAATAGAATGACCCCTGTGTGTGTCTGTGCCCATGTGTGTGCATAGCTTAAACCACCGGTCCAGCCGAACTGAAGTTGGACTCTAACCAGCACACACGGTAGGAGGTTTTTGAATGAGGCCTGGACCGGAAGTGAACGCGGCAGGCCACTTTGAAAGGCGCCGTTGCAGACTGGCGAGCCTTGGAAAATAGCTTCGTCAATTTAGGCTCGCATGAACTGTTGGTTTACACCAGCAGCACCTCCACTGCATCAAAACTCGCATACCATAGGGGGCGGTTTGCACTAGTTGACCTAACGGCTGCCGGGGTCAGCAGGAGTGCTAGACATACGAGTGAGACAAGAATTTAACTCTATGGTGAGATTTACGCTCAGAATTATACATGAAAAAAGTCTGGAAAATATCGGGATCGGAGATTCACTACTGATATTAATATCATATTATTGACCGAAAAAAGACAAAAAACTAAGATAGCGAAAATGTTTCCGGCAGCATACGTACAAGTTTTTTGGCATTTGTTTCACATTTAGTTTTGCACTTCCGCGCTACAGGCGGGGGGACTGGTCATTTAAGGATGATGCCTGCAACGTCACCATACGTACCTCTTCATGACCGTTCTCTGCGTCTGCCATAACATCATCCTCTGGAGCATCCATCAGCCCAGCCCCGCTTTCATTTCTTCCTGTGGCACCACCGGTGTCTCCTCTTGGTCCATTTGGCCCACCGCGGCCCAACACCCCTCTTCCTCCAGCAGCTCGCCCAACATCCCGTGAAATGTCTCCCTCCAGATCCCTTAGGCCCCCCTCACCCTCTGCATCCAACGGGGCACACCCTCTTCGCCCACTGCCTCCGGCAGACTTCCTTGTTGAAGGCCCTCCTCGTCTGCGACCAGGCGTTGAATTGCCTCCCCCTCCACTGGAGGAAACACCACCTGACCTCACTGGCCCAATGTTAGATCCTGCTTCTCCTACACCCCTTCCTCTGGCTCGCCTGTTCCCTCCTATACTTCCCCTCTCAACGACCAATGAGCGCATCCTCGGTCCTTCACCACCAGGATGCACTGTTGTCTCACTTATTCTGCAGCAAATAGTCACAACAAAAAATCACACAAATACAGTCATCCATGAATCCATCACTGAGCAACCATATCCACATCAATCAGCTTTCATCACTACACCTTACAACTTCAAATGGATGTCATCACAACGGTACCGGTCCCCAACGAGAACAACACCATACTCCTCTTCCAATGCTCGAAAGCCCATAACCGGGATAAAAAACTATCTCGATGCTGCTGTCTTCCGCCAAGAACAACACGACCTGATCATGAACAATGAACATATACCATCTATTTTTATGACAACAGTATTGGTCCCCACTGCTGTCTTCCCCTGAACGCAACGTGCCTTCGTCTACTTTTCCAGTCTGACACAGTCGTGATGAATACTTCAGGAAAGTCATCTTCCTTCTATCCACACTCACAGCAACCATTGGAAACAGTAATCGACACATGGAAAGGAACGCAAAAATATTAATTAGTAATTACTAATTACTGCCCACAACCATTGCAAACAGATGTGCTGCTGCACTGAACCTCACTAGCTGCGAACACCTCTCCGCTGGCAGGGGGGAGCTGCGTGGTCACATCCTCACAGTCAACAGTTTGCTGAATACCGTCTTCACCCGAATGGAACGGCGAGTCATTATCGCTGTACCTAGACCGAAAGTTGCACCAAATTCGCCTATAATGACCGGGCATTCTATTCGTGTGAACACTGTAGTGGATCCAATACACCCAAGCTTTAAGGCATGTTAGGAAGCTGCGCCCCAACGCAGAGGCCCGTGCTACCTGGGCGTGCCAATTTCCTGGGTTTCCTGGGTGATGAGCCAAGAGTTGATGAAGACGATGATTGATGTTGGTGACCTGATGAGTGATGTCTAGGACATTGACGAGTGATGTTGACGACCTTGATGAGTAATGCACAAGGACACAAGCAAGAGGAAAACAGCGCCCGTACCTGCCTCAGCTGCCTCAACTGAACTCGTTGCAAGGTGACCCTGCAGCGAAAAATTAGTTCGTAGCTCAAGAAACCAAATCCCCAAGGTGACCCTGAACCGTTAGTTTCGAGGCAGATCTGTCAGCCTATTGCTGCCTAACCGGCCAAGGCCCCACAATTATTGATGGTGCCAGCCTGCCGGGAAGAATTTCCCCATAGAAACACGCCCATTTACTGGCTTCACCACTATCTCTATTTAGATACGTCTAAACCAGCTCCCAAGCTACCATCACTTTTCTGGATTTTAAGACTCAGCCTGGTAAAATACCATCTGTCAGTTCATCTCTCCTTCAAATGTTTGTGTTTGATGCTGTGTCTTCTTCCTTTTCTGGATTTATTTATTTAGCCTTGAAGGCTTAAAATAACACAAGATACAGTCGGAAACGATCCCCAGCTGAGTGTGAGGCCAAAGAAGAGTGTTTGCATGCAAATTCCTGAAAGAGGTCCTTCCTACCGTAGAATTGCATGCCTGCTTCAAATTATCATTGACTTTGCCTTCCTTTCAGCTGAGACAGCTTGACTGTTCCTCACTAGACAGCTTTGACTGATCCTCACTTGTTCACCTTAGCACACGGTCGTCCGACCTGGTTCTTTTTCTTTTTTCTTAAAGGGCGACGACCTTGCGATATCATCTTCAAACTGACCAGCCCCAGGAAGAATTCGGCGTTAACTTGATTGGCATGATCACCCTCAGGAAGAAGAGCATACCATGCACTTTTTTGGGACTCAATCGATTGGTATTTTCATGGGGATTTTATTTATTGCTGTAGATTTTCTATGGAAAATAACTGCGGTTAAAAGACTTTGCATTTCTGAGTGAAACACTGAAAAAGTGTTTTTCAGCAACGTTGAAGAACACAACGGACACTGGAAAACGTCCCCGCTGGAAAGCTTACAGTTCCTCAGACAACGTTGAAGTACGACGACGGACACGAGATGGGGGGCTTGGACGGAGAAAAGAGTCTGGCAGTTCAAGGATATTTGGCACGTGGACTAAAGCCGCTGGAAAACGTACCCGGAACTCACGGTGCAGCTCCCCGGCTGTCACAATCTTCAGGCCAATTACAATGTGATGTTGTTGTCCGCCCCGCCGGAATGGATGCACATGCTGCAGTGGCCCTTCGAATGGGAGCAGGGGGACTGGGCAAGTATTCGAGGGGACAACCCCCGGACAATGGCCCTGGCGTACGCGGCCTGGGCATCGTCAGATGGAGAGTGGTTACTCTTTAAAATACAGGGCATTTGCACACCGGGAGTGACGACTAGCTTGCTTCACAAAATTAGCACCGCTCAGGCAGTGGTGAGGCGCGGTTGCCTCCGCAAGGTCAGGGTTATAGAAGACGCACAGATGCTAAGGGACCTTGAGGTAGACCCGGCAGACGGCAGCCGGACGAGCCCGCGAGGCATGTCAACCTTTTGCAGTACACCACCAAACTGGGGTATACCTTGAGGAATGGCCCTTCCCACCTGGCAGATATCATCACCGCTAGGTGGAAGAAACATGCCGGCATTGATATCAGCGCACGGCAGGTCACACAATAGAAGGCAATCTTGGTGATACGAAACACCCGCATACGCAGCATGCAATGGCTGATGGCCCATGTTGCCCTCCCCGTCAGGCAATGGCTCAGCAAGCGCAGGACTGAACAAAACAGTACGGCCCTTTGTGACCTCTGTGTCATCTGTAGCGCTGGCAAGGTCGAGGACATGACTCACTGCTTACTCGCCTGCCCCGAGGGGGAGCGTATGTAGGACAGGGCAGCAGCTTGGTGGCCGGCTCTTACGAATACCCCTTTCCCGGCCAGGGGGCACCATATCCTCCTCCCTATGCAGGGGAACATGGGGCACAAGACGTACCAACATACGTTGTTCCAAAGAGTGCACCAATTGTCACTGTGGACCATCTGGAAAAGGCAATGCACTGCGACTCTGCAAGGAAAACGGCAGCCCGTGCAGCAGGCGTGGGACCACTTCTTGGCCCTAGTGGAGGTTGAGTACTGAGACTGGAGGAGAGCCAAACAACAGATGGCGATGTAGCCGGACAGAGCAACTCAGGTCCGGCAGCAATTCGCTGCTCAAACGCTTGTGAATGGAAGAATACGCACCCTACGAGGGAACACGCTCTGCCCGAAATGGTCAGGCCGGCATGGAGAACACCACCAAGGAGATGCCGGTTACGACATGCCCGAGTAGAGGAGCAGGGCTCTGGCCGTCGCCCTCCTGCAGACGCGGGTCGGGCAAAGTTGTAGTTCGACTGTCTAGCCGGAAATGGCTTCGCTCACCATTCGAGTAAGCCCTCCCCCCCCCCCGGTGTCCCGGGGTCAATGTTGCAAGGCGTGTGGGCAGCTGCCCGTAGTAGGGGAAGATGGCCTGTGGCCGGGGTGTTGGGCTTTGGGGTGAAGAGCGGCGATTACTAGCTTAGTGCAGGCTTAGGCTTCCACAGGAAGACTAGCAGAAAACTTGTTGTATTTCCAGGCTAACTTAGCCAGGGGTGAGGGTTCATATTTCCAGGCTACCTTAGGCAGGGGTGGGGAGTGGTAAATCCTTCCCAAGGGATGCAATAAATGCCGTCCACTCCTGCCTCCCTGCCATAATGGGGAGGAGCGTGCGTGAGTAACTGTTGTATCTTCTTTCAACTTGCCGGGGGAATAGGAACCAGACTGCTGCTCCCCAGAATGGATGCAGAGTGAGAACCCTGAGGTTCTGTTTCGACAAAAAGAAAAAGGAAAAAAAAAAAAAAAAGGAAGGGATAAAGTGGAGTGATTGTGTTCATCCCCTTCAATACTATACCAAACCTGGTGTGTCGACATGTCGTGCTCCTGTGCTCGCGTGCAGATAGTGTTGTTCTCACTCTCATCTCTCAGTTTGAAGGTCTACTTCACCCACTTCATATTCCTAACTAGTACTTTCCCCTTCATTACACTATTCTGTTTTGTGTACAACACCACTAGCGCCACCTGGCTAGTAGCCGTCTATCTATGTAACCGCTCAATGGTCGAATGACATTCTTTTCACAGTGAGCCAGTAGAAAGAGCAACCAAAACCATCTGAGGCGAGTCCTTAAAACCAGCCGATAGCAGAAAAGGTGCACATACGTTCACCCTCGACCTTTGAAATTATATGTTCAATACACTTAGCGACTTCAGCGTGAGATAAACAAAGGCCTAACGAATCACGTCGCTCAAGAAATTCAGCCAAGTTGTTGGATTCCGTCACGCTAAAACAAAGGCCTAACAAATCACGTCGCTCAAGAAATTCAGCCAAGTTGTTGGATTCCGTCATTCAACATTGGTGACTTTTAACTCCCAATTATCTTCCCGGGAAGAAATTCAGTGGCCATCATCACCTACTAGTTCTCTGACCTACATGATCTTTTGAACTAGATCGCAATCCTATCTTACCTGCTTTCACCTTCTTAGAGTTGAACTCGCTTAGCAGAAAAGTGGAAAAAAACACGCGGACCTTCTTCAGTGTTGTCAAGGATTCACCTCCGCTGCCTGAAGCTTGCCTGCTCAAAAGTCCTTTCCATATTCCTCGTTCCTATGGCTCATTGGGATATAAAGTTGAATGTATTGTTTGGGAATTGGACACCATTCCGGTGGAACTCCTTGTGTATTTGTCAGAGTGCAAGGGTTAGTTCGGACCATAAGAAACAATATCTTCCTTTTCAAAGTGTAAGAACTGCACATGGAGAGTACAAGACATGTGACAGGCCGTTCTTTAATGCACGGAAACAGAACCCCCAACTTCACTCGTGCAATCTGACTACTTCGATCACCAATTTCACTAACAAGGTTCTTCTTAATGATGTTCTTCAGGCCTTCTGTTCAGTTGTATCTCACTCGTACTTCCTTCATTTGACGTCTTCTCCTGTCGTTGCTGAAAATTCACACTTGTTAGATTGTTGAGCACTACTTATTTCAAGTCATTTCTACTTTTGTAATCAATCAAGCTGCGTGCGATCAAGCAAACAATTCCGAGAGGTCTGTTTGATGTCACATATGAGGTCCTACATTCAAT